GAATTTTGATATATGCAACCCAGCAATACAGAGGGATTGTTGTCTCGCTCGCACTCATTACGATTAACGTAAAAGAAAGAAGAGCTTCTTCATCTTCCTAACCTCAATGATCTAATCACTTCAAACAACTGTTCTCAATACCCGCCATAGTGCAGAGAGAGATGCAAATCCCACTTGTTTGTTATCCTTCCTGGCCAGTGATGTGCCTGTAGACAATGTCAACGTAAACAATTGATTGTCTACGTGTAGACAATTCGAATTGTTTACGTGGGCATTTGTCTACACATTGTCTACATGTGACGTAAACAATAAACTTATTTTAGAAAATTTAAAAAAAAGCTCCAAAATTACTACTACCTAAGTAGCTGATACCGATCACTTTGATATCAGCATTCACTGATTATAAATATGAGGAAAACCGATAATAAAATAAAAATAATTTTTGAAAAGGAAAGTGTGAGGTTAGAATTAAACGTCATTTGTATTATTTTACATTGTTGACACGTTGTCTACATTGTCTACATTGTCTACATTGTCTACACGTAAAGTAGACAATGAAAGTCTACGTGTAGACGCACATCCCTGTTCCTGGCACAAACCCTTGCGTTAGAAATATTATGCAGCCACCGTTCCAGTGTGTTTGTTTAGTTCATTGATTAGATGCCATTGGATGGGTCGATGTGAGTATGACAAGTGACAGTGACGTGATTCTGTCAATTGTCATTATACTGAATTTAGGTTGTGTTCGTTTTTGTAATCTTTTTCGTCGATTTGCTCCGAAATTTTGACAGGCACGTGATTTGTAAATTAAAACTGTCTGATCCAGACACGTGCCTGTCAAAATTTCGGAGCAAATCGACGAAAAAGATGACAAAAACGAACACGGTCAAGTCAATATATGAAATATATTATATATTTCTCTTTTTAATCATGTAATAAAAAGAAATGGGTAAAAAGTCAAAAAATCCTCTCCCATCACTTTTTATAAAGTGGCACTATTTGGCACTATTTGAGTGTTGCTGCAGGCACACACGAAAATTCCCCAAGAACAACCCTGTTAAAGGAACAAAAAGTATGCTAAAATTACTAAATAACGTGAAACACGCAGGAGCCTAATAGTAATTTATGATATAAGTGTTAAAAGTACATTTTTAAGGCACGCATGTGAAAGACAGAATTCTGCAACTCACATAAGTGCCTTAGAAATATTTTAACACAAATATCATACAATATTTTTTCTACAAACGGCAATAAAAAGCAATAACCTGTTACAAATTGAATTTTTAGAATGAATAATAAATTGGAAGTATCTTTCCCATATAAAATTATCGTTAGTTGACAAGTTGACATTTTTTGTGAATAAAGAATAAAGCCATTTTTCACGGGTAATTTGAAATATTCCGTCAGTTTCTTGAAAGTCTGTCGTGTTTACTAGTGCTTTTTGCTAAAAAGTCAAGAAAATACAGGAGAAAAAGTTCGGAGAGTGGTAGAATAGGTGCGGATTGCGGATGGAATAAATTTGTCAAATTTTACCATTAAAAAATGTAAAGAAATAAAATACAAACTTTTTTAGACATTTGCTTTCAAAATTTGATATTTCATTTTTAACACCAGTGCTATAGGTAATGACTTTATGGCACCAGTGCCATAAAGTAACATTTTTAATGCTACGGGGAGTGTTAAAAATTGAATTTTTAACACGTTTGTAGAAAAATTATCTTTTTTTAGATATTCAACTACCTATGCAAATACGTCGATAATTTCGTCATAATTAAAACTAAGTGAAATCGATTTTTCGATTTGAAGTATTGTTACATTTGTTTTTCCTGTCCCATAGTGGAACTAGAATATGACATTGATTATACAGACAGGACCAGGATACTAGACACATAGGCTTCAATGAGACCAGTTTACTGATTCCTTGATACCCACGTCACTGTATGGTAAGCTGCGCATGTTATTAAAATTCGAGCAGCTCTGCAGAACTTGGCTTGGACAGCTCGGCAATACTCGACATCGGCAGCACCGCCTCGATCCGCTGAGGAGATCGAGTATAGCTAATTGGTCGGTCTTATTATTCCCTATGTGTCTAGTAGGTTGGTCCAGTCTGTATAGGCTTAAGCTTACTAAAGGAACGCTGACATGTAGTAGTAGTCAAATTATCAAGCGGCGGTTCGCCTTGGAATTTTGAAAATTCTATTTCTGCAGTAAACTCAAACGCAAATGCATTCAAATCTTCTGAATTTTTATTTGCCAAGTCTGTAGCATTTTTCAACCTTCTAGAGTCGTTTCCTCGATAGCACGACCAGTGAGAAACCAAACTCAGCTGTCACAGTATTAAGAGTCCCAAATGTTTTCCCAATCTGTTTCTAAATAAATTTATGAATGACTTGGAAGAGTTCAATTTCCAAATGTGTTTTGGAAACGAAAAGATGAGCCTCACGCAGGCATATTTGGTTTCTTTCTTCTTCTGGGTTGTTCTAGTACCTTATTAATATTTTTTTCGCTGTATAAGTATAAAATGCGGAAAGCGCTCTTTAAAGTTTTGGTGTGTTGCGCAAAATGCGCTTTACGCTTAACGATTACTGACAGATTGCGCCCTTCTGAAGCTTGCGCCCGTGGCAAATGCCGCCTTCGCCAATCCTTATAGTTACGGCACTGGAATCGAACCAGCATACCAGGTCATCGAAGCAGAGAGAAGAGCAAACGGATCGACAATTTATTACATATTTACACTAACCCAGGTCAGAGAGGAGAAACTGGAGAGAAACCAAGAAATACCTTTGCTTTTCATGGATCTTAGAAAAGCATATGATAGTGTCCATATTCCTTAAGCTCTCGGAGAGTCTAGAAACTACAAAAATAAATACCTACTGAGATAATTAAACTGGTCGAACTTCTGTACGACCAACGAACAGCAAAGCCTAATACGCTCAACCGAAATCGATTATTGTAAGAGAGCGGCTGGTATTGCTACTTATTGGGAAATTATGCGGGGTTGTGAATCAATGCAACAAAAAAAAAAAATTTGTGTTGGTATGGCATACAAAGAAAAATATACGCTGCATAAACTATCCTCCACTGTTGAGAGCCAAGTGTGATGCATAAAAAAAAATCAAAAATTGTAAGCAAGAGTACTGTAGAGAAATTTCTAATGGACTCTCTCCATGATATAATAATACTAACTGCTATAGGTTGCTACGCTGTTCGGGCTTTGTGGAACCTGCAGGAAGATCTGGTAAAACTTGAAGTAATTGACATTCACGATTTGCAAAAATTGTCTCTAATGCGAGTAATGAATTCTCATCAAGGAGTCAGAAACTAATATCGACACAATGTGTATAGTGGCGAATGGCAATAAAACTTTACCTAGCGTCATGCATCTAGACAAAGAATATTTTTCTTGAAAAGCCAGCAAAGACCTACATAATGAGAGATTCTTTGAAGTTTACAAAAGCGAGGACAATTTGCAGAATTTCTGGACCCAACATGTAGGACAATATTCAAGGCATTTTTCTGCCAGTCTTTTGACATGGAAATACAACGTTCAATTGAATCCAAGGAGAATATCACCAGAAGAATCTACAACAAAAATCCAAGTGCCATGAATAAGTCTTGCCAGAGATGATGTATCAAAATCTGACAAGACTATAGAAATAACCATCGCGAAATCCAGTCATTCTCATACAATCAGCCCCATACCTACCAGTTGTAGGTATAGCTAGTTACAATGAAAATTCAAAAAGTAGGTACCTAAATACTGATTAATTGCGTATTTCCTTTTAAATTTGATAGGTATAGTTGGCATTTTGTAATTATCCTCAATTTTTTTTCAATTCAATTCAATTCTTTATTGTTTAAAAAGAATATACATTCTTATAACAGTAGTAATATCCTATGATAGTTAGCCTGGAAAGCCGTGTGAGAAATGTTTCACGAATTTTGATCCGATCATAGTTCCATATGAATATAAACTGCTGGACAAAATCTTTAGAGCAAGGAAATTTTTTCGCCTAAATTTCAAGCTCAATATTTTTGGAACCAGACCAAATATCGACCTCCGGTTTTCACGGGCTGACGGATTGACTTTTTGTGAAAAAAAAAAATGCTATATGCAAACCAGAGGTCGATATTTTGGTTCCAAAAATATCGAGCATGAAAGTTAGGCGAAATTAGCCTTTTGCTCGAAAGCAAATGTCCAGCAGTTTAGTTTTGAATAGTTTGTTCTGTGACCTTTTAAAATTTTCTGTACAGAACATACTGTACATTTTAATGCCTGGCCTGGCATATTTTAACACTTAACGGATGGAAGAAATTCCAACAAACGTTATTTTGTTACTGAGATGAGCTTTACTGTTTCAGTTCACAAGGAACATTTTTGTTCCATAATTGACCGGTTCTTTGGTATCAAAAAAAAGAACAATCAGGTTTTAAAAAAAAACAACTTCTAGCTAAGTCTAATAACACTTCTAGGTTTCTCGTTGCCTTTCTGATTGATTTTGGTTGGTTGTTTCACCCTGTAAGCAATAAAATCCTTTCAATAAACTTGGCGCGTTCGTAATTAACACTAATTAATTAGTATTAAAAAAGATGTTTGATATTGCATATCCTGGTTGCATATTAAATATTTTTTTTTATAATATTTAATACAAGGAACGCTATTATATGAACTTGAACGTGTGCCAATTCATCTGCGAATAAACATAATACAGAATAATAATAAAGATTTATTTTGAAGTGATCTTGAATTTTTTTCTAAGAATGTACGTAATATTTTTTAAACATGTTAAAACTGACACATAAACCATAAGAAAATATGTGCTAATAATTATTAATAGGTACTTACAATCTGATTGTCAATTGAAAACACTTCCCATCAACTGCAATTCAAGAATGCACCAGAGCTTATTTATTGTTGTATTTTAGGTGTTCAATTAGCTGTAAAACCAAATTCGGATTTTTTCTCGTTCCAAGAATAAATGTTTACATCTTTATTCTAGGCTTATAGAGGAACAGGCCTGCACCCCCTCGCCTTCTTCCGCGCAATCGAACCACTACAACTGTCTATCTCCATCAAATTCGCCTTCCCCTCTGCTGCAGCAGTATCAGTTAAGTCGCTATCCTCAAGATTACTCCACGGGAGATCCTCAAGATAATATGATACCTGCTAGTCAAGTTTTACCACAGGCTTTGCCAAAAAACGAGCAAATGTGGGTTGGTACAAGTGGCATGGATACCTACGCCGAATACCGGACGTATGACAACAGGTAACTATAAATTCAGTCCTTTAAAAACTGGGAATAGCGTTTCCGGAGAGACAACTTTACTCGGAATTTAGCACAGTCGCTACGGCTACGCTATTGGCCCATGCGCCTCTCCCATTTGTATAAGCGAGCACGTGGCTGTTCGAAACTACAATTTGTCGCACTCGCGAACTTCTTCCATTTCAAACCTATGAAACATGTCATTTGGAACTAATTGGCAATGTATGTATCTCTAGGTTTGATTATTCTCGTCAATACAACGAATCTATGCCAGTTTTCGCCGCCAGGACCGGGTTTCCTCATAAAATTGGTCCGAATCAAAGTCAAAAAGCCAGCAAGGAGGCGCGGATAAGGCGGCCCATGAACGCTTTCATGGTGTGGGCCAAAGTGGAACGGAAAAAATTAGCCGACGAAAATCCGGACCTGCATAATGCGGATTTAAGTAAAATGTTGGGTAAGTAAATCAGTAACTAATTTATTGAGAAACAAACGTAGCAAATGATAAATAATTCATTAAGGTGATGGATAATTTAGTCTGAACCGAATACGTCGGCGGAATTTTCGTTTTCTTTCTGTGGGTAATTAATTTAGGAATAAGAAATGAGTGTGTTTACAGTGAACACAGTATCAAATTAGGCAAAGTCAGAACCAGATTAGAAACTTTCGGCCTGGTCATCACAATGCATGAAACTGAATTTGTATTTACCGTCAATCAAAATATAACATAAGGTTAGGTATACATATTATAAATAAGTACAGGATCTTTGATTATATTTAAGCCCATACCTAAAGCCTTTACTTTTTAAGATAGAAAAAAAAATGTATGTCCAAACTTGAAAGTTTTTTCCTACCTATGTTATCTTTTAACGTTATCAGAAGAAAAAAAATCGCATCGGAAAATGGAAAAATATAGACTTCAACTTTTTTTTATGGAACACGCTGTATATTATGCGATAAAATGAAAGATCTTTTCTTATATATGTTACGGTTACTATGCAAACTTGGCTAGTTTGTAAACTTGCTGGATAGTTTACAAACTAACCAACTTACTGGCTATTTTGATAGAAAACACAATTTTCACTAAAATAGCAGCTAGTTTGCAAACTAACCAAAAGTCTTGGCTAATTTACTTGAAATTATTAAGCAAACTAAATTAGCTGATTAGTTTATAAACTATCCAATGCAGCCTGGCTAATTTGAAAACCATGATTTGTAAATTAACCAACCAATTTTCTGGCTAATTTACAAATAAAGGTTAATGTTCATGGTATTTGTTATTCGATAAATTAAAGATGAATAATATGAAAATTTCTGCTTTTTTTGTTACCTGGCAATTCTCACATCCATTGAGGAACAAAATTACAATTTTTTGGGTAATATTTGAATATTTTTGATTTATTAGCTTTGTTGTAACTTGCCTTTCGCCGTGCCCAGTTGATTGGTGGGATTCTTTAATAATATCAGACAAATCGTCCATACATACATACAGTACAAGCTAGTATTTTGGCAGATTTCCTTCGTTGTGAAGTTTAGAATTATTTGCTTTATTATTATACAGATCTTTTAAAGAAGCTTCAAATTCTCTAACCTAACTTTGTTTGTAAATTAGCCAGAAAATTGGTTGGCTAGTTTGTAAACTAGCCAAAGGTTTGGCTAATTTGTGTTACTAGAAAATATGGTTTTCATATTAGCCAAATTGCATTGGATAGTTTATAAACTAATCAGCTATTTTAGTTTCCTCAATAATTTCGAGTAAATTAGCCAAGACTCTTGGTTAGTTTGCAAACTAGCTGCTATTTTAGTGAAAATTGTGTTTTCTATCAAAATAGCCAGTAAGTTGGTTAGTTTGTAAACTATCCAGCTAGTTTACAAACTAGCCAAGTTTGCATATTAACCGTAACATATATATAATTTGGAGGAATTTTTTTCGGGTAGCGGTCTGTTATAAGATAAAATCAATTGCCCTTACTCAATATTTCGCCACTATATTTTGACTTCTTCAGGAGTACTGAAATACATAGTAATTATTATGAAGCAGGAGGAATAACATTATAAAAACTAAATAAAATAATAATAAAATGACTTATGCTCAGAGCATTTATGCAATAAGTAGTTGGTATGTTAGTTAATAGGATTTCAAGAAAGTTGAACAGCATTTTTTATGCATTAATTGATGGTAAATTTTTATATTTTTAGACAAACAGAAATCAATATGACATTAACCAAGGTATTATTCTGGTATGAGATGTTCAAAAATAAGAATATATAGGAGTAAGACAATCATCACGAAAAACTCAAAATATTGCAGTATATTATATTACTTAAGTTGTTTGTGTCTATTTTAGAATTTATGGAATTTTTATTTTTATTTATATAACACATTTCCAGAAATAGACGATTTTTATAATTAGGTTCTGGTTCTAATATTTTCACATTAACAAAGTCAAATTGGTGTCCAGTTTTTAAATGATGTTCGACAGTGGCACAAGTATTTTTTCTCAATTTGCAGTCACTTTTATGTTGTTGTATGCGTTGTTTCAACCACTGCGTTGTTTGACCAATGTATCGGCCTTGACAATCTAGGCAAGACAATTCGTAAACTAAATTACAATTGAACATCAATGGAGTTTTTTGTTTAATTTATTCTTTAAGATTAAACAAAAAACTCCATTGATGTTCAATTGTAATTTAGTTTACGAATTGTCTTGCCTAGATATCAAGGCCGATACATTGGTCAAACAACGCCGTGGTTAAAACAACGCATAACACAACATAAAAGTGACTGCAAATTGAGAAAAATTGTGCCACTGTCGAACATCATTCAAAAACTGGACACCAATTTGACTTTGTTAATGTGAAAATATTAGAACAAGAACCTAATTATAAAAATCGTTTATTTCTGGAAATGTGTTATGTAAATAAAAATAAAAATTCCATAAATTCTAAATATATCTAATAATATATACTGCAATATTTTGAATTTTTCGTGATGATTGTCTGGGTGTCCCATTGAAAAAAGTTCAAGTTGTCTACGTTTCTCCATTTTCCGATGCGATTTTGTTTTTTCTGATAACGTAAAAAGATAATATAGACAAAAACTTTCAAGTTTTGTATATATATTTTTTTTTTCTATCTCAAATAGTAAAGGCTGTAGGTATGGGCTTATATATAATCAAAGATTCTGTACTTATCTATTAGTATGTGTAGATTAAAATGTCAATAAGTCGCAATCTACTTAAAAAAAACTTGAAACCCGAATTAGTTGCCCTTTATCACTTTCTTTTCAATAATATAACAAAAGGGACAAATTGATAACATAAGAAAAAAAAAATGAAAGCTGTTGCGGCTATTCTTGTAGTAAGCGCTAAAACTGATCAAGTTTATTTTATAATAGGGGTTCCAAAGGTAAATCCTCAGGGGTTTTTAGTGAAAAGCCTATCTCTCCCCAATCCCTTAAATATCTACCTGAAACAGGACTTCTCGAACTCAAATATTTTCTAACTGGGACGAAAGATTGCTGCTAATAATTGAGTAAGTGCACACTTTCACTCCTCATAAAGTAATTTCTACATTTTCGATTATTATGATTCATAATATTTACAGAAATATAAAAATCCAGCTTTAAAACATAAGTTAACACAAGATTTTACTGTCTTGATCAAATTGAAAATAATAAATTGTTCTTCTGTTACTCATGAATTTCCCAATCCCTATCAGCTGCGTCAACTATTGTGTTGCAATACTTCACAATTTCTGCTTTATCAGCTAATTAAAAAATCTTAGTCATTAGTAGTTGTTAATAATCACCAAAGTTTTGGTTGAGTAACATTAAGCTTCTGTCACGTTCTCCAGCGTCTGTTAAATTGGGTTTTTAAAATAGGTACAATTAATCTAGTACTGTAGTAATGGAGTTTGTTATAATGGGATGATAACAAAAAATTCGAGAAGGGAAATTATCACATACAGAATAGGAAGCTTTAACGCCTTTAACTGATAAACCTATTATTTTTTACATAAGAACTTATATACAGTGACCGCCAAAAAGTTTGCAATAAATGGGAAAATATTTTATTATTAAGATATCAAAAAAAATGATACGTGGGATCAATTCAGCATACCCATCAACAAAAAAAATCACTGTGACAGGTATCATGTGACCACAGTCATGGCAGAAAATTTAAAAAGTTCGCCTTAAATATGTGAAAAGTGGGGTTAGACGACCAGAAATCGAAAAATTGTAGAGAGAAAAGTTGTTCAGGATCCAATTTTACGTCCATGTGTCAATTTTTAAAAAGGTACAAGGATTTTTAATAAATATTAATTTTTTGGCCTGTTTTCTGGTAATTTGAAAAATATCGAAAACATTTCACAAAAATATTGGCTTGATTAAATTAAGAAACGAAGTATTGGATCATTTAGAAAGATTTCATGATAATTCTAAATTTGTTATTCCAAATTTTTGTTTTCTGTAGGTCATTGCAACAAGATCAGAGTGGTCTGTCTTGTTGCAATGACCTACAGAAAACAAAAATTTGGAATAACAAATTTAGAATTATCACTGGTTTTTTTTTTTTTTTTAGTTTCACTTTGAATTATGTGAACCAGACGGAAAGTTTTTGATATTTTTCAAATTACCAGAAAACAGGCCAAAAAATTGATATTTATTAAAAATCCTTGTACCTTTTTAAAAATTGACACATGGACGTTCGTCGGTTCCTGAACAACTTTTCTCTTTACAATTTTTCGATTTCTGGTCGTCTAACCCCACTTTTCACATATTTAAGGCGAACTTTTTAAATTTGCCGCCATGACTGTGGTCACATGACATCTGTCACAGTGATTTTTTTTGTTGATGGGTATGCTGAATTGATCCCACGAAACATTTCTTTTGATATCTTAATAATAAAATATTTTCCCATTTGTTGCAAACTTTTTGGCGGTCACTGTATGTTGGGGTTACAACTAGAGGAACTGAATATTTAATTATTGAGGTGATTTTTATTGTCTTCAGACCTAAATGAAATAAAAAAACCTATTTTATTTAAAAATTCAAACAAATTTTGAATAGACTATTTACTATACTATACTATAACTATTTAAAATAGTTTAAAGGTTAATAACCCCTACTGACGACTTTTAGGTCGTACAGTTGGCAACACGACAAATATTGCAACTTACACATGCGAGTGCTAGCAAAATAGGCCCGGAGCTATTTGCTGCAAGCGCAAGAAAACCCCTGAGAAAGACAGATGTGCGCATGTCCGTCATAAAAATCCCCTCAAGCTTTCTGAATATAGCGAACTGTGAAGTGGCCTTTTAAAAAAAATTAACTTCGAACGCAATCCAATGAGAAATGAATACATTGTCGATTTGAGAAAAATGTACTTTAAAAATGCTTCTTTATTTTCGTTGCAAGCTTGCTTCAAGCTTAATAATAATAATGATTGATTCTAC